AACAAACAAGAGATTACAATATATGTCCCAAGTAGAACATTTACGGTACAAAGACTAAATTACAGGTTCATCATTAATTTACAATAACTCAAGTACAGAAAACGTCATAACAATAGTGCCAATTAGTCAAATGAAAGCTTACAATTAGTTCAATAAAAAAAGCTATTAATCTAAGTGTCCAACAAAAACATGTTAAGAATATAAGTACTCATCTCTTGAAAATTAGCTTTCGAAGTTTGCAATGTTCATTTATTTGTCTCGTCCGCAAAAATACATGACCAAACATTTAGTGAGCAACCAACCGTTCTGCTATTTTTGAAGACATTTTGCGATCATCTAAATCTGAGGACGGAACGAAGACAGCGACACAATGACCAGATAAGCTAACTATTCCGATGCGTCACAGCCTACTAACTAGAGGGAGAAGTCCAGGTTCAGAAGAGAGAAGGTGTATTCCACAAGCAGTCAGAAAAACGAACAATAACAACAAGCACAACTCAAGCGTATATATACAGCATACAAATGTCGTTGGAAAACGTCACAAAATAGCATATTAAAACCGACAACGAACAAATAACATTCAAAGTCTTTCTAAGTGGGAAATACGATATGAAGGTGAAAATGGGTGCTTTCGGTGCGAAAACAAGAAATTCAAATCAATAAAATTACAAAAATAAACGTTTACCAAGTGAGTTCTGGGGATCTAGCATCCTCAACACGTTCCATGGTAAAATTGTGTGGAACTAGTAGACGAAAAGTAATTTATCGGGATAAAAAGTGCAAAACATTGTTCAGCTTACATAAAAGCATTGTATTAAATTTATTTAACGGTATTACTATCGAATTATGAAGATCTAGGAATTGTTTCACAAGAACTAAACCACTTGTTACATGAAATTACTTACTGGATAACAAAATCCCAGAGCAGGAATATTCCATTCGAACGAAACAAAAGTAATTTTAAAAATTTACACAAGCTGAATAATAATAATAATTACACTAACAGACAAAATACACCTACTAGAAGTCCATTTGCATAGCCCTTCAACCTTATAGGTAGTTTTTCTTTATCTAAATAACGACAGGCTCTAAGTAAATCTTCCGGAGATATTAGATCCATACCTCGTGCACGATTAACTCGACAATAAGCTGTTGCTAAATCAATACAATTAGTATGTAAGCGATCAGTTGAATGATTGGAACATTGACCTTTTAGTAATGGAAACAGTATACTCGATACCTGATGAGCTAATCGAATATAGAAAGTCGTACCGCTGAGTGATGATGAGGATCGTCTGTCATCGCCACCACTTACGACTTCTACAACTCCCATTGACAGCATGGCCGAACGTAGTTCAGCGATTTCATTAGCTGATAGATCACTACCCTGAAGAAAAAGATTGAGACAGACAATTAATTGATTAACAAGAAGAAAAATTATTGAAAACCATACGTTAGAAAATAATCTATTTCACTGTCAGTCAACATTGAAATAAATGAATGAGTAAGGAGACCAACTATATCTTATAAAACGCTAACTCAAAAAACACTGCTTACGTACGACTGATAACTTGAAATAGGAAAGTACTCCTTAGATTACAAACTAACTACGACATAATTATAATTTCTTTAAAAAATTTGTTTTATATCAAAACTCAGTACTAAATATCAAGCAAAACAATGAGAAAAGATGAATCCTCACGAATAATAATGGAAAGAACTAAATATTTTGTTCGCACTTTAAAAACAAAAACACACCTACTTTTGTATCGCGAACTTTTTTAGCCAACAGACGACTTAATTTAACCATTTCACTTGCGTTGTTCATAAGTTGATTCAAATCATCAAAAGCCTCGGTAATATTACGATCAGTTTCAACAGCACGTGCAGCTTGTTGTCTTTGAATTGCCCCAATACCTCCAGTACCAAACGACTTAGATGTCAATTTAAAATCTGAATGATAAGACAATGTCCACAGTTTTACCTAGATTTATAACGAAAAATTCCGTTTGTTATTAAAATAGATTTTTTAAAAATATTCCATAAATGTTAAGAAAACGTCTGACGTCATAGTCAAGATATGTTTACAATTGCATGACAATCACAGAAAAAAATGTCAACTTTACAATCATAAACATAGCTTCTTTTAGTAAATTTTAATTCACAGGTAGCACACGTGTAGAAGTGTAAATTCAGATTCATACAATATTACATTAAACCGACTACAATTTACTAACCCTAAATAAAACACGTTCAAAAATATATTACTTCGTAAATGTACCTTTAGAACTTCGTTTAGAGACTGTAGAAATTCATGATGCCCAGCCATTGGAAAGCCTAATTTGACATAATCTTCTTTTGAATAGCTGACAACTGCAGTCGCACTAAAAGTGATACTGTCGATTCCAGAACCAGAACCTCCACCACCTTCACACCAGTGTTCAATCCACTGCGGAGGATTCGGTAAACTTGCCAATAAATTTTGTAGCGCTGCAACAGTTAACAGACGAAGAATCAATTTCGGTGTACGGCTTACTGTTAGACTACTACCACCCTCCTCAACCTTTACAGAAATTATAGCAGCCAATGGAAGAGCTATAAAAGAACTTGTCAGTGCTAAAGGATCAGACCATAAGATACGATGAGTCGTCAGCTTGAGTAAGCCGCCTTCGAAAGCACTTCGATTAGGTCCATCGTATAAACGGACGCCAGTTTTTTGTAAAACTACTGTTTCTTCATATAGGCTATCTTGATTGGTCGATCCATAATTTTCAACATCGTCTGAGCACCAACGAAAACGGTCCATATATCACATAGATTACAGATATTGTACCTAGTTTTTAAAAAATGAGGTATTACGAGTTAGAAAAAATCACTAACATGAGATTAACAATTGAAAACCTGGAAGCACTGGACGGCCGTTTCGTCCTATTGTGGGACTCCTCAGCAGTGCGCACCCACGATCCCGCTCGCGGGACTCGAACTCAGGGCCTTCGGTCTCGCACGCGAACGCTTAACCAACTAGACCACTGAGCCGGCATCCAATGGTGATAGTTTCTAACATCAACCAATCCACGAAATTGCGCGACCAACTTTCGTTGTACTGAGGTAGATACCTGTCTCTACCCGACAAGGATTAGCTCCACTGGTCACGGAGTCCCACAATAGGACGAAACGGCCGTCCAGTGCTTCCAGGTTTTCTATTGCGGTGGTCTAACATCAATCGGTTCATGATCTCAATCAATAATAATTATAATTGACTGAGTAGGACTTTATGAACTATTCTCAAGCGACTAATAAATAAGAGAACTTATGTACAGAATACCTTGGCAACATAAGATGTTTACAGTAAAATAACGTTATGAAAGGTTTCAGTAATCTTTGAACTAACGGGACAGCAAGCCAGATAGTATATACCTTAACATTATTTATAATCACTCCAATGTAAATAATGATAACTAAATAATAAGACCGTAAAAATAGATAACATGAAGTTATGGATAAAGATACCCGAATAATTTGTCACCATCGCTACAGATTCATAAAATGTAATGTTAAGTACTCCAAGTGAACTTTTAGACTGATGTGAAAGAATCGGTTCGATTTTCAAGGTAGATCAGCTACGCTTTCTGACGAATCAGTGCATTAATTTTTATCAAACTTCAAAACTTAATGCAACAAATTTAAGCCACACAATAAAAATCTAATCCTTCTAAGATTGATGTGATTAGTTGTCAAGTTAGGGCGAAAAGGCAACTTGAAACTGTGGACCAATCTATAAACTACTGTATAGATTCAGTACAAAGAAACCAACGGCTTTCTTAAGAAGCATAAGATAGAAGCGTAGTGTTAGTGTAACTGTTGGATACAGAAAATTTTAGACGTCAGTAAGAGTTAACCTAGGAATTCTAGAGCATAAATGGAAAAGGGTTATTAACGATATTTCACATACGTGCAAAATCCGGTCGGCAAATAGCTATTACTGTTTGTGAAATTAAGAGGACGAAAAGCGAATGTCTGGCAATTTAACCGGGTTGGTAGATATGGAGGATCCATCTAGGGGAGTTGGAAAACCCTGATTCCAAACCAATGGTGCACATGGGCTCCAGTAACCTGACGAAACAAATGGCGTATGAATCTACTATTGGTCACCGGCTACCATGGGACTACAGTTCCTGATGTTGCTCCACTGCCTTGTGGATCAGATCTTTAGGTCGAAGGCCCCGGGTGTGGTCCCCTAAGCAAACCACCTGCTTCGGTTTGAGCACCTGGGTAGTATCATAGCCCATACACAAATCAAGTCACTTGTGTATTCGGTGCCACTTTGTACCAAAATTTGTGTTCAAATAAAATAAATAAATGAAATCCACATGCTTTAAACGATGCACTCTGCCCTTAAAACAACCACTTTTTGGATTATTAATTTGGATATATAATTGTAGAACCTGAATAGAATTTATCGAAAAGAATATTCTTCGTTCAAATATTAGTCTTATTATTGTGGTTACTTTTTAAAAAATATTTATAACTATAGATTACATTTCATTTTTTCCAAAAACAGATGAAGACAAGATATCCGTTTTTCAAGCAGGGTCGTGTTATGAAGTGCTTTACTAGTGGTTTCATACTTACAAATCCGTGCATTACTCTGAAATGTAATCAAATTATGTAACGCATACAGAAACACACATACACATAAAAAACAATCCACATTGAAAGTAGTACCAAATGATGAATAGGTATGCATACTGTATTTCACAGCAAAAGGAAGGACATTAATATAATGCATATATTATGCTAATGATTGAAGAAAGGGGTAGGCATAACAATAGTAATAATGACGTAATCACTATACAAATTTCCGTACATTGGAAAGCATTGTATGTAAATAAATAACAAATAAGTAAATTCAACTGTATAAACATATAATTTGTTCCATTTCAATTGTCAATACTTGAAGCATTTGTATTCATACCAAATGACTTGATGATATCTTCAATTTAACTACCAACTGCTAATGCTTCTCTGCTTTGCTCTCTGCGTGCAGGATCTAAAATAATGCACAGATTAAATGAATTTATATGTAGTGAATATGATAATTGAGATGGATGTTTATAGCTCAGGATGAGGATTGTTGAGTTTTCTGAGCTAGATGATTTAGCTGTGAAAATAGAGACTCCTTTTGGATGTTGTGCTGGTGGTATTCCTCAGAAGAACAACCAAAGTTTTACAACTAAACCATCCGGCTCAGAGAACACTTTGCACACGAAAGTTCTGCATTATATATAAATGTAAAAATGAATGTAGAGTATAGCAAGTTACTCGCTGCTATGTTTACAAGCTGACAAAATATAATATCAATGTCTTAAGCCATCAGGAGACAGATAAGTTTACTTTTGATGTAAATATTAAAACTGAGGTAAATTGGAATGCTGCTTTGGTCAAAAACAAAAATGAAGTGTATTGTTTACTGGATGTACAAGACAACAAAGTGATACATGTCTGTGAACCAACTGACTGGAAGCCAGAAAATGGTAGTAGAGCAATGTGTCGTGGTAGTTAAAACTACTTCATTTTAAATCACAAGGTTACAGGCTAAAACCACACTGTTAACTTTCGCTTGTACAGCCGAGTAAAATAACTGTCATAGAAGAGTATGGAACAAGGCTGGATATACAAACACTTATAACAAACTTTAACCAACTAGTGATAAAATGTGTGAAAAACTAACGGGATACCAAACAAACCGTAAGATAGAGAAAATTGAGGCCTGATAAAACAAAACAACAATGTCTTACATCACTCAGTGATCTATCAAAGTAAACAACTGTCCTATGAGAAGTTGGCCACCAGCCAAATAGTTGAATTATAGTCATCAGCCGTGATACTGGACGACTTAGTTTTGAATCCCATGAAAAGCACCAATTCTCTTAAAATCATAGATTTACTTCAATAACTAGTTCAAACTAACATCAAACCAAGGCTAAGAGCTCTTTACCATCTGCTACCAACCGTCAAATAAGAATAAGGAAGCATGATAATCATTTGTGACATTAGGCTACTTGATACAAAACAGCTAACAAATGATACGTTTTGCAAATAGAAAAAGACTCCAAGCTCGCTATTACAAGACGTCAAAACTATGGTACAACTCTATTTATATGGTAACAATTGTGATATTTAAAAGCAACAAAAATGGCAGACTAAAAGCGAAAGTAACCCTCAAATCCCGAGAGTGGGGAGAGTCCGCTCACCCTCTCGAAATGCTCACACATGGCCACGCGTATACAGCTACTGCTAGGGAAGTCCTACTCACTGCCTTCTCGTGGTGGGGGTGTTGTTTGCGAAATTAAGAGGACGAAAAGCGAATGTCTGGCAATTTAACCGGGTTGGTAGATATGGAGGATCCATCTAGGGGAGTTGGAAAACCCTGATTCCAAACCAATGGTGCACATGGGCTCCAGTAACCTGACGAAACAAATGGCGTATGAATCTACTATTGGTCACCGGCTACCATGGGACTACAGTTCCTGATGTTGCTCCACTGCCTTGTGGATCAGATCTTTAGGTCGAAGGCCCCGGGTGTGGTCCCCTAAGCAAACCACCTGCTTCGGTTTGAGCACCTGGGTAGTATCATAGCCCATACACAAATCAAGTCACTTGTGTATTCGGTGCCACTTTGTACCAATATTTATGTGTTCAAATAAACAATGACCAGTACGTAGTGTGACCTATTTCTAATTCCTCTAAAAACAAGTCTGACAGTAAAAATGACTAGAGCAGCTAAAGATTATAGGTGCAACAAAAAAGCATCCGTTAGAAAAGTAACTTTTAAAATTGCATCAAAAAATTAAACAAATACTTTGTTAGAAATAGGTAAGCTGAATACGAACTCAAAAAGGAGATGGTTAGAATACCAGAATAGTTTCATATACATCACAAACAAACACAACCTATAACATCTTCTAATGTTCAGTATTCCTTGGACACAACATCATTCAACTGGTCCCAAATCAAAACAAGAACTCTAAGCGAGCAAACATATTTTCCAAAAAGCGAACAATCGAAGTCAGTATATTAACAATATCCTACACAGGAATGTTCATCTACTAGCAATGGTCCGTTGAAAATGGATCTTTTCTCCAAAATACATTCATCAAAGCATTGTCCTGCTGACACAACTGCAATAAGAGTTGTGTACAACATAACAGGAATATATTATGTAATTATTTAGCAATCATTAGAAGTTAAGCTATATATTAAACTCTAATATCTCGAATGAATTTCCCAACACTACCACGATTACTCACGAACCCAGACGACTAAAGGTAATGAGTACAGCATTTGAAATGCATATAAATTCAGGTTCTGAACGTACGATTGTTTTTTGCTATTCATCCATACAGTTATGAGAATTGCAAACTGACTATACCACATGATACATAATGGAGCTCACTCTTATGTATTATGAAAGACCTGAGTGAGAACAATAATCTCTACTTATTATACGGATGACATTATACTGACCAGTTTTGATCAATATTGAACCTTCTTTTCGAGCACAAAACACTACCCTTCCGTGTGTATCAGTATCAGTTTACAGTAACCAAACATAAATAACACGAGACATAGATATACTTTCTGTGAGTTACCTTTTGATTTTTTTTCAACAAACGGATCTATGGGATGATCAGGCACATGTGGGAGATCGATAACTTCAGGTTCTACGAGACGAGTTAATTCACACTCAATTTCGTGGTAATCGTTAGAGGACAGACCGCCAGAAACGATATCATCTAACTCCTAAAAAAAAAATATGTTCTTTGAAGTAACTTCAAAATAGTGTCATTTCTCGATATGTTTACAATAAGTTGTTATTTTACTCGACTTTCAATAAATAGGTCACAGGTCCCAATTCGATTGTATCTACCACAGTTTGAGGCAGTCTGGTAGCATAATTAGGCCCCACACTAAAATATCGACTTAAAGTTGAGTACATAATCCTACATTCGGTAAATAAACCGCGCCACATTATAATATTTTTGACAGTTATAAGAAAACGGTTAAAACTAAACAGTTAAGTCATGCGCACTGAAAGAAGCAGTAGTACGATATTTCTTAATTAAATACATAATTCAAAGTGCGAATCATATTAAGACAGAAATTAAAAATAGTTAACATTTATCGATAATAACAATATATTTTCGTGATATTCCGATCAGTTGAAAATCGTATTTGATGTTTTGTAACTTAATGCAAACCACTTCAGAGTAAATAAATGACCGAAATGAAACACACAAGTTTAAATAGTACAAACAAAACAACGCAGAATATTTTTAGTACAGTCAAAATCATATGTCTGAACGTGTAAATATCAAGTAATTTTGGTCAGGGTGATTCCGTATGACATCACTGTAGTAATTTTTGCGTAAGAAGTTGGATGTGGGAAATTTATACACATGTAATATAAGGTAGTGGAGTTAAAATGGAGTGTATGTGTGTAGACTGTGTGGGAAGTGAAAAGGGTCAAATGCGGTTGTTGGGATAAACAGTCTAGGTTAAATGAATAGTCAGGCGTTCCATTCTATTGAGGGCAGAGGGATTTAACAGTATGAGAAACGTTTCGGCTAGTCGTCTCTCTTCATAGTTGGAAAAACGTTTCTGAATCATTTTGATATTTTTAGTGTCAATTTGGTGATTGTTGGAATGGTATCCACTGTTATTGTCGATTTCACTTGTAGATTTTGCAATTCTACAGGATTACTAAGAGGTCTTTTTGAGAAACTTATGTGTTCTTTGGCACAAGTCGAGATCTCACGGGCAAGACTCTCCCATGTAGAACGTATTACGATCTACATAACTTTGTGTAGATGTAAACGGGATCTTATCTTTTATTTTAGGTAAAGCGTCTCTTAGCTTTCGACAAAGGAAGCTTTAATTTTGCAGGTTTCCAAGATCCGTTGTAATTATTCTGTCGTACGTTAGCAGTAAAGTAAAACTACTAACAATCCAAGATCCTTCAACAGAATTGTTACTCAGAATCGATATTAATTTCTTGAACCTCACATCGGGAATGTATACAGTAGACTACACACTTATTTATGACTAACATCCTGAATATCTAAACGTAACAATATAATCAATTCACACAACGGCCTGACATTGAGACAAAACAACCACATGACTGATTTTTGATTTATGCGAGCTTCTATCCCAACAGTTCATCGAAATTAATTTCACGGGTTATTACTAAAAATATTTATACTAACGCCCAAAACTAACAACATTTGGGTTATTCGCTCAAATACAACACAGTATAGCTGGGAATGGATACTAAACCTGATAAAAGATACAATATGAACAATTTCTATGGAACAGCTTACACGTTGATATTCCACAGCATCCTGAGCTTCTGACATAATCCGTTCTGCATCATCTAACGACATTACCTTTTGGATATCCTGGAGAGCCTTGTTCCCACACTTTAACCCATCTAAAACCTCCACTTCTATTTGAGCGAATTCGATGTCATTGACAAGTTGTTCGATGTTTGACAGTTGAATACTGGTTTTATGAATGAGGTTTTCGAGATACTTCTTCTTTTTCAGCAGCAACAGAGCCCGCCTGGGAAAAAAATACGAATTAGGACTATCTGCAGAAATCCAAACCCCTCAGATATATAAGCAACATCAAGAATTAATAATAATGGCAACAATATTATTGACTCAGATACCTGTTCTAATGTCATCACAAGGGTCAAACGAACTCACTCCTTTTTACCTTGCCTAATAAGTTCCTTGGCAAGAACTTTTTCATTTTCTATCCGGTTATCTAGCTTATTGGTCAACTGATTGAGTTTGTCACGTTGCCTCTTCAACCTTAGTATAGCTTTGTCTTGTTCCGTAATTCTTGACCGATTTCTGCGTCTTGAAAAGATTGAGCCCATTTAGCTGAAACCTTTCAAACCTTGACGAATTGGCACTTGATAAGCACTTTACTGTTGTATCCGGTGATTTGGTGGAGACACTGAAACAATTGGAAAATAAACAAGATTACAATGAAAAAATGACGAATGTTTACACTAAAACACGGGGAATACTTTCAATTTTAATACATGACGAACAAATCGGTAGGTACATTCTTAGTATTCGAAGAATGGCTTGTTAATTCAACATATGTAGATAAAGTACTACTTGGAAATAATTGGAAGATCTGCAAATAATCAACACAAAGCCTGAAACCAATACTCACTATCCCGCTCCCAAACTATAATGTCAGGAGATGAAATCGACATGAATAAAGAGGCGGTAGTAATGGCGTTGATTGTATTAAAAGACCGAGCGCAAATAAGATGATTGGCAGGGAAATAAGGAAAGAAATGGATACACCCCACCAGCTGAGAACAAATCATAGAAGCAGTTGAGGAATTCAGACAGGTACCAGGCCACCAAGCTGACATGAAAGACGGACATTCTAGGCTTTTATCATATTAAAAAATATGTTTGTTGAAGTGAAAACGATAGTTCATAGGAAGACAAACAACTAAATACAAAAAGAGATTACGCAGGACATATAAATATCCGTACGATAAGGACGCATACTACCTACAAGCATGTATATCATCTTGTATCCAATATGTATTACACATCCACAAGTAACTGATGTTCTTCAGTAGACGTCACTTCCTGTGCTTCAAATTAACTCAGTGGACCAAACCACAACCTACGATGAAATTGATGGTGGAACATTTCAAATTGGCATCTTTGGAAAGCTTAATGTAAAGTAGGTAGAACGGAATACAGTGTGAGGGAATATGTTGGAAAAAAACAGCACAGACTTAGTTAAACTATATTTGTTACTAGTGTCAATAACGAAACGTTGTTGCTCAGCACCCTGTCAAGGTAAGGTTGATATGGGATACATGTAAACTGACCTCGTGATACCAAAGCCACCACAAAGAAGTGGACATGAGTTTCATCTCATATTGAGGGTATTATTAACTACTATTTGTTATACGATATTCTTATAGACAGCTTTGTTTAGAAATCCAAAGCTTAAACTCGGGAAGGACATTTTCAAGGCCTTAGCGACTTGGACAATATCCAAAACATGTCTTGTCAAAATCTGTCTAACTCAAGCAACTCTCCAGATTAGCATTAGTTACTGAGCAAACACGTCAACATTTAACTAGGCTAACAATCAAACGTGCATTCAAACTAGACCTCTGGGCAGTTGTATGCAAACAGCACGTTTTTATAGCTTAATAATGGAAACGAGTGTGTAGAATCAGTCCTTCGGAGAAATCCCAAACATTCTTACTTGAAATCGAAACACGACGTCTGAAACAAGTTAACGTAGTAGCGACACAATTCGATGCAGCCTCAATGTCCGACGTTCAATGTCCCTCAAGCAAACTTCCATAAGTTGATTGATTTCTTTTCACTAGCTTCTTCACGGTTACTACCCTCCGATTTGCCTAGACACTCGGTTGCATTATTTGTTAGCTAATTCGGTCGTTGATTGAGGTTAATGAGCGTGTGTAGTGACTCACATTTATCACGAGAACACGACTGGTTTAATAAAAACGCTTATTATTATAACCAAGTGTACCAGTGACTGTTTTAATGTGCTTTTGTTTGACTGTGCTAATGACAGCTATTTTGTGCTTCCATTCTTATATTTACACTTCGATTGTAACTTCGCGCGAATTCGGTTACCTTCTGTAACCAAGCTTGTATCCTGGCACGATCTCGGTATCCTTTCGATGCCACGAGATCGCCAGCAAATAAACCTCGACTTGGTCCATTAATTGCCTTCTGATATTCGGCTTCTCGGGGATTTTATGGAGTCATTTGGAACGAGCTTCTTACGCCTTCTGATCTAATTGGCACGTGTTTCTTGGTAGCGGTGTTCACAGTTAATCACAACTCGACGCCACGCTACACGTGTTTATCCTAAGGCAGTGGAGCTGTTAGGATTATCAGCTACCATATTACAGCTCAGAAGGTTAATTTTATACGTAATTAAATTTTATGAAATTAGAATTCAAGATGTAGAGGCGCATAGCAATAAGAAGTGGACGCGGGAAAACCAATCACAAATTTATTGGATATATTGGATGAGCTGACGGCCGAAATGAGCAAATAAATAGTCTAAGCACATAGTGTTAACAGAAAACTGTCTGGAGACAACAAACAGCAGGAGGCAGAAGGGTATGAGGTGAGCAGAAATCGGCTGGTTATTGTTTGTTACCTAGTTGAACTGCCCACTTCATAGAGCCCCCTCCAAGAGATTCGTATCCCATTTGTGGAGAGGAGGTGCGACATTAATGTAAATCTTCAGATATGGGTAAATTTTGATTGTGAATACTTCAAAAGACAACATAGGAATCAACATGCCCAGTCGCCTTCTAATAAAGCAGAGAGCGATGTGGGCTTTGGCTACATCGTCTTTGTGGTCGGTACTGCCGTCCCAGGTTTCTGTCAGCAAAAGACCTACGCAGCATTCCCTCATAGTTCTGGAGTAGTCGGCTTGACTTTTCGTTATTGTTTGAAGTATCATAGTTTGATATTCTTGTGGACTGAAAGTCAGACAATTCTTGTGTATCTATGACAACTTAAGTTGAGTGGTTTCGACTTGGACGAACAATTTTCGTTAATGTCCAAACATCATGGCCCGAGTATGTTTCAGCTTCCTTATGTCGTGTAGGCAACATATTTTTTGTTATCCCGTATTTAGGTTTGACAAGGTTGTTTGTCTACATTATAACCATTAGCTACAACTGTTCTGTTCTGCAACTTAAACAAAAACCGAATACAACCACTAGTCTGCCTTTTCCAACATATAAAACACGAGATAGCTACCAGCTTCGGATCGGTGAACACCAAAAATTCTCGTCTCACATATTTCCTTATTTAGTCGTAAAAGTAAACCATTTGATAGATTATTAAGATAACTGATGACACATTTCATACATACATTTACGTATTTTAACTCACAGTATTCCTGCTAGAATAATTCTATACCAGATTATATTAATGCATTTGTTATATATAACAATTAAAAACTTAATAAAATGTGAAAGCCTGGGGGATAAGTAAATTTTATCACTGTTAGAGATAGATAGTATTCGATCGTACTGACTTTGAATTCTGACTTGATCAAATAAAGCATTATTTCATGATACAAAATGTGAAATACAAGCGTATTCACTACCCAGATTTGTTCTCTGTACTCCCTCCTTCAGTTCTCAAACAATTTAAGTTAATTTTGAGTACTCCAACGTACACCATTTTAAGACGTGAGGTAATGGGCCGTATATCTCTATTAGTTGGTCAAAGAATCCGAAGGGTTTAGCAATGAAAAAAAGGCGATTGTAGGCCATAGCTCTTACATCAACCACAAATCCCAGTTGAAGCAATCCAAAAGTGGAGATGGATACAAGCTTGTAGATTCATAGTCTAGCTCATCATTAGTATATTTACCTTTGTTACTGTAATAATAGACCTGCAAAGAGAAGTCTAACTTGAATCTTAAACCTGTACCCATTCCTTTCTCAGATGCATCTATCATTTGCGACACCTCAACGGGTAATAATCGCCCCTTTGTGCCACAACCTTGTATTTCAACAGCTACATGGACCGTCGCATCCGGGCATCAGAGCTACCAAAAAGCCTATCACAGAACGTTTCGTTTGGCCAAAAATCAATTCGGATGTTAAACATTGGGCACGTGGCTGCTTACAGTGCCAACGCAGCAAAATCCAAAAACACACCATTAGCCGAATCGGGGAATTCCCTATACCCGAAAAACGTTTTCGACACATTCATTTAAACTTAGTTGCGCTCCTGACACCGACAAATTCCTTCACTCAAATTCTCACTGCAGTGGACAGGTTTACAAGATGGGCTTTAGCATGCCCTATCAAAGACACTTCTGCTGAAACAGTAGCATCCGTTTTCCTTGGCCGCGGGATATCGAACTATGGAGTACCTTCGATAATCACTACAAACCGTGGTCCCCAATTCCAATCCATTCTATTTCAGGAATTCACTAGACTTCTCGAGGTAAACCACATCAAAACAACAGCTTGTCACTCAGCAGCTAATGGCATGGTTGAAATATTCCATCGCCGATTGAAAAGCTCACTGATGGCACAAGCTGACTCTTCAAAGTGGAGTGATGCTTTACCGCTCGTACTTCTTGGGATTCGTTCAACTATAAAGGAAGACATCGGATGCAGTGCCGCCGAACTAGTTTATAGCAAAACCTTAACGTTACCAGGACAACTGGTCAATCGCGAATCTACAACGTCAGGTGATCCTTCTCGTTTTGTAAGCAGATTACTGCAAACAATGAAGAACATCAAAGCAATATCCCCACGAGAACATAACAATCGAGTTCAACTTGATAAACATCTCGAAACGTGCAAATTTGTTTCCGTCAGAGTAGACGCTGTGAAAAAGCCACTGAAACCACTATATGAAGGTCTCTTGAAAGTAATTAAACGCACTCACAAATACTTCATTGTCAACAGAAACGGAAACAAGGAGATGAATGAAACCAGCTTTCCACGAAACTTCACAAGACAAAGAAGAAAGCACTGCGAATAAACAATCCGTCCCATCAATTACTGTGAAACAAGAGGAGGATGAAAAACTTAGCACTACACCTTCTTGTTTGACACGTTCCGGTGGACTTATAAAGAAACCTAAACATTATGTACATTTTGTAGACTAATAAAATCAAAAACATTCAATAATACATATTACAAGGTTATATTTACTTAATTTTCGAATAAAAATTATTTCTTTTCTCTACATCTACATATAATTAATTGTATTTTTTCACAATCACTTGTTTTGTCAACTTTTTATTCATAAGAAAAATTGTCACAATAATTAACGGATGAACTGTAGTTAATTATCTATTAACAGTACATAAAAA